CGGCAAGGCGGCCGCGGCTTGCCGAGGCTGCCTTGCGGTGCTCATCGGTGACCGCACAGTGAGAGGCCCGCCCTGGGGTGCCCGGCCGGGGCGCCTGCCCGCAAGGGGCCACCCCCCACCGCGCCCAGGGTCGGGCCCGCTGCCTGGCGTTTGCGGGCTGGGCTGCATCGAGTTTTGCTATGCAAAAACACTGTTTTGATTCCCGTACTATCGCAACTAGTTTATTCGCGTGCTATTGTAGGGTAGAGTGGACCGGGAGAGTGGACCGGGCGCTGTGTGTCCCTGGCCGCCCGCTCCTGGAGCCATCCAGGCTCATGGGATATGACTAGGTAGCATCAGCATTGTGTGACAGGGATTCAAGGGGCCACTGTTCGCCGTTCGAAGCAGGCGTGCACCAAGGCTCCGAGTGTATGCTGGTCCGCACTGCGCACAAGGGCGCGCATGCGGGCATGTGCAGGCAGGTCCGCAAACAGGGGTGCAAACGGCCCAACGGCAATGGCAACGGCGCCTGCACTAAGTTTTGGTGGTCCAAACAATTTTTTTCTTACACAAAACTCCCCAGATTAATTCTTGATTACTCTAATCTCTGTTCTTACTATAACGAGGGATGACTGTACAATAGCACGCTAATAAAAAAAATTGTTGCCGCTGGCAGCAGTCCGCCTGCTCCGCCAGAGGTTGACCCCGGGCAGATCTGTGGCTGGTGTCACCAGGGTGGGGGCACGGGGTTAGGGGCTGCTTCATTGTGGTCCATCTGGCAGGAACTCTACTCAGCAGGCCACACACAAGCACTTCTTACCCACGAACAATGGTGCAATGTCAGAGGCAGCAGCAGGAGCGGGCAGCAGCAGCGCCAGGGCTGCGGCCGGCCCGTCTGGCCCTGCGGGCGGCAAGCACAAGCGCCAGGACCTGACGCTGGAGCAGAAGGTGCAACACGCTGTGCGCCGTGCAACCCACCTTTTTAGCAAGATATTTGCAGCGGCCTGCAGCTTCAAAGTATGCCCAGCATCTTAGCTGTGCCCTGTGTGAGTAGGGCCACGCAAAGGCGCGACGGTCATTGGCAGTCGCATCGGAGGGGGCTACGTGTGAGGTTGCACACTATTAATGCAAGGCGGGCTGCGGTGCAGCCGCCCCCAATCCTCTTGTCCCATGGCGCATGGTGCCGCAGCTGTGCGTCGCTCCGGCTGTGGCTCGCATAATCCACAGGCTGCTGCCCAGTGGTTGGTTCCGCCGCTCACGGCGCTGCTGCGGCTGCTGCTCTACACACAGCCCTCACCAATTCTGCTGGTTGCAATATCGCGCGCCGTGCGCCGCCCACCTTGACTCAAGCAATGCCTCACAAGGGCCAAAGCCCAATGGAAATGTTGCCACTTTCTGCTTTTGGCCTGGGTTGTCGGGGCAGTGCATGGCGCAATGGTCCTTATTAGTCGACGCCGAAGGTGTCACGTGCCCTGTCTGTATGCCAGGGGCACACAATACGCAGCAACACCCACAAGAGCGCGGGCCATGAGGTGGCACACGAGTCTAGCACCACTCAAAGAGTTGATGTGTGCCAGGCATGGTCCGCACATGCCGCTGCTGCGCGCCACAAGCGCGCATGCCGTTGGTGCGGCAATGGCGCGCCGACAACGCACACGCCGGGTGCTGCAACAGCTCTGCTTCCCAAATCGCCTTACTGGAGTTGTTCACACAGCTTCCCAACGTCCTCCACATCCGATGAGCGACGAACGTGGTGAGCAGCCGCGCCGGCAAGTCTGTTGTTGCTGGATTGTGCCACCCGCCATGCTTCCTGAATTCTCGGCCAGCGACATCCAACAGCGATGCTATGTGCAGGCGGCTATGAGCCGTTGATCGCGTGGGGGACGCCCAAATTGTTGGATCAACAACGACAACTGTTACTATATCAGCACAGCGTTGGCAAATGTGTGCATAGCGTATCGACAAAATTAAACGTGGATTGTCTGTATATACAGTAACAGGGCGCCCAACATGCAGCGCCTCATCAAGCAGCAGCTATCGTAGTTGGGCAGGTGCTGGCACTGCATCACCTGGGGAGCAGGCTTTTGGGGTGTTGCGGCTGTGATACGAGCATTATATGTTTCATATATTATCGGGTATTTGCAATCGTGAGTGCTACGCGGCGGCGATAGAGCGAATTTGTTCGCACACCCGTCGGCCTGATGGGCGCGTGGAGATGTAAACATATGCGAAGTATTCTTTGCTTGTGCTACTTTTGAGAGTTATGCCCCATAAAGAAGACACGATTTGTCGTGCGGTGGTATAAAGTGAGAGACGGAACAGCCATGTAAACAGACGTCGTTCTCTGCACGAAGCTCGACGCAGATCAACTGTCGCTGAGGCGTGTTGCATGTGTGCACATGGTAAGAGAAACAAGAAGTGTCGTGTGCCAGTAGCTTCGGGTGATGCAGCGTGCATTCACGCGAGTGGAAGGGCTGTGCATGCTGAGGGGGAGTTGACCATGCATTAGACCGGCGACAGCTCTACAAAGCCAAGTAGCTTTCTTGGATACTAGTATCCGCCCAAACAAACAGACCAGCGTGGAATGCTGTGCGTCCCCTGATGATCGCAGCGACCGCGGCAGCGTCCAAGGATGCCGCGTTGTGACTGTCGCCGCGCGCCATCATCGCCTGGCAGTTTGTTGCGAGTCGCACTCAACTGAATGATTCGTGGCCTTTTCTTCCAAGTCAAGCAATCTTGTTCCGTCAACAAGCACAAGTCTATATCAAATCATTGCGTGTTTCCTTTTTACGCCAGCCAATACCAGCGACTCTCGGGGTAAATGTCTGCGGCAGTGGATGCTCGGCGGCGCGACGCACTCGAGCAGAGCGCCGCGCAGGCACAGCGCCTGGACGAGGAACTCCGCAGCCAGCCGCTGCCAGATGGCGCAAAGGTGTATCTCTTGCGGGTGTGCAGCAGCAAGTCTGGCGCAGAGGGGCACAATCACGTCCAGGCCATGGTGGCGCGCTGGGCCGAGGGGCTCTCGCGCGAGAGCACGGTGAGCAGGGTCGTCACCACGGCCCCCCACACCATCGCGCCCAAGTCGCCCTGGTCTGAGGGCGCTTGGATGGCGGTTGTGATGACCCTGCCAGCCGGCGGGGGCCTGCGGGAGGCGCTGCTTGTGCTGATGGCGACATACCAGGCCGAGCTGTGGGAGGCGGGGTTCAGTCCCCTTCTGGCGGCGTTGCGCGCCGGCCGTCCATGGGGCGACGTACCGGCGGTGAGTCTCACCTGTATTTTATCATAGAACCGGGCGTCGATCACTATGATAACAGCCTGCCGACGGGTGCCCGCCGGCACGAGTGCTCCGAAGTGTGACTGTCTTGTTCCGCCCGGGATCTGGTGCCAAGCTGCTGCTGCTTTGACACTTTCATGTGCCAAGCTTCAAACGCGTGTTCGAGGTGCCTCGTCGCATGATCACCTCCCCCTTCAGGCTGTACCAAATACGTACATACAATACACCCACCCCGTCCTTCTCGCGTCCTCCGCCCCCACTGCCCGCGTGTCCCTTTTTACAGAGACACCTCCTCGGCCGTTACATAGATGTCTCGAACACCGAGCAGGCGCTGGGCCTGGTTGCGGCGCACGTGGCGGGCAGCTACAGTGTGGAGGCGCTTACGATCGCCGAGCGCGCGTGTGGTGGCGATCCTGGTTTGGACGTGCGGCAGGCGCTCAAGGACGCGAAGCTGCAGGCAGAGCGCGCCCTATCCGAGAGCAAGGAGCAGCGGGACCAGGCGCGGGCCGCGAGGCGGGACCGGGCCGCGCGGCGGCAGGAGCAGCAGCAGCAGCAGGATCAGCAGCAGGAGCAGCAGCGGAGCGCGGCAGGCCTCGGCTGGTGCAGTGACACAGAAAGCAGCGAAGAGGGCAGTACAGCCGACGACGACGACGATGACGAGGAAGAGAGCGGCGAGGAGGAGGAGGAGGTGGAGGAAGAGGGGAAGGACACGGGTGGGTGCTCACCCAGCTCACTGCTCAAGTGGTTGATGTTGTTGTGGGGATGAGGGCGGACGGGGCAAGCGAGAGTGAGTCTGCCTGCTTGGGTGACGCACCTGTACCTAGATCCCAATGCCATGCTGTTGGCTCCCCTTGCGTGGCCCTTGTGTTCAACCTCCATACACACTCCATGCCATTCCCTCGAAATCTCAGGCGCAGTGGTAGTCTACGGCGACTGTATAGACCTGAGTGCCACTGGGCTCCACGACCTTGTGGACCGCACGGCGGCGGCGCCTCGGAAGCACCCAATCTTGTTGGCGTACGCAGCTGGGATCGCCCGCACCGACTGCCACCTGAGCGGCGACACCCTGACCCACGGCCATAATTCGTCTGACCTAACGGCGCCAGTGCTGATGTCAGCCTTGACAGGCGTGCCTGGGCCCAAGGGTGGCAACGTCACCCTGCGGCCGTGCCTCTTCGCGCGCGCCCCTACGCCGCGGCGGAACAAGGCGGGGTCATTCCAGCTACGACTCTCGGCCAGGCTCTCGCGGTCTCTGCAGCCGCTCCTGGTGGGCTTGGTTGGCGAGGGCAACAAGGCCCTCACACTGCCGAAGAACCAAGACGATATCATCACGTGAGACTAGGCAGGGGGCAAAAGGGGCGCTTGGGCGGGACGTTCAGCTCGATTGGGGCTGGGGCCTTGCGTGCCTTGCCTGTAGCTCTCTAGGTGGTTTGTGTTGTGTGCGCGTGCGCGCATCAGCAGGCCATGCAATCCTGTCTTTCTCACGCAGCATCACGCACTTGATCAGGAAGATGCCTGCATCCCAGCTCTCCCCGCCTTGCTTGCGGACCGCAACACATTACTGAAGCCTGAGCACGTGCCATCATTGCGCAATGCCCCTCTGCTGTGCATGCACTACCAGTGATCTCTTTGAGAAGCTGTTCCCGCTGGCCGGGCGCGAGGTCATGGTGGTGGGTGGCATCGGGGACTTCAACGGCGACGGCGGCATCTGCAGCAGCGGAGGCACTCTCGCCTTCATGGTGAGCATAGGGAGCATAGGAAGACTGTTCGTACGGTTGAGGGCCGAGAGCCTTGGGGCCCGTCGGGGGTACAGGGGTGGCAGCAGTGGGGGCTGCTGCGTTGGCCATCTATTCGTAGCTGTGAGCGAGGCCCTCCCCGCTGTCAATATCTTTGGGGGGTTGTCAGCCAGGCGCGCTTGCGCGCGGCCGACAATTAGGTGCCGGCCCCCTGCATTGTCAGCGTCTCCGGCCACACGTTCCTCCCGCTGATTCCGGCGGGCGCGTTGGTTCACTCTTCCCTCCGATTAAACATCCGCAGCGTGGCGAGGGGGACCTGCGCATCCTGTTCGTCACGGTCTCCGAGGCCATGGCGCGCTTCTACCGCAAGCTGTCTCAGATTGCGCTCGAGATCGCCGGCTATCCAAAGCCACATGACGTGTCGGTGCAGCGGCGGGAGCGCCGTGGGACTAAGCACCCGCTCTTCACGGTGTCGGTGACGGGGAAGTTCAAGGGGTACTTCCT